TTTTTAATAAAAAGAATAGAGTCATTTTCTTGCCAAATAAAAGTATGAGGGTATTCAAAAAGAATATCTTTAACCTCATTCTTATCAATAGCGTCAAGAAGGTTTTTGTTATTTTCAAAGACACCAAATGAACTGAATTGAAATTGCATTTAGATATTTATTTTAACTACACTTTTAAAGTTCTTTTCAGTTCCATTTTACAATTTTACATCTGAACTATTGAAAATACATACTCACAAAAAAAATAGTAAAAGAAAAACTAAAAAAATAAAAGAGATGAGTTTCATTGATGAATGTCTTGAACAATTATGGCAAGGTGAGGTAATTAAAGAAGCAACATTTCGTCAAATTTATGAAAAAGCAAAAGAAGTTCTTTCAAAAGAACCAAATATTATTCCAGTTTCACTTCCAGTAACAGTTTGTGGAGATATTCACGGACAATTTCCTGACTTTTTAGAATTGTTTAGAGTAGGAGGAAGAGTTCCTGAAACGAATTATATTTTTATGGGAGATTATGTTGATAGAGGAATAAACGGCGTTGAGGTGTTCATGTTATTAATTGCATTAAAAGTTAAATACCCTCGTAGAGTTACTCTTTTAAGGGGTAATCATGAAACAAGACAAATCTCACAAACATATGGTTTTTACGATGAATGTATGAAAAAATATGGTAATTCAGATGTATGGAAAATGTGTTGTGATTTATTTGATTTATTGGCTCTAAGTGCTTTAATTGATAATCGTATATTATGTGTTCATGGTGGTCTTTCTCCAGAAATAAAAACACTTGATGATATATCAAAAATTAGTCGATTTAAAGAAGCTCCTCATGATGGGGCATTTTGTGATTTATTATGGTCTGACCCTGAACCTGAAGTTGACACTTGGAGACCATCAAATAGAGGGGCTGGTTATCTGTTTGGTGAAAAAGCTACAACAGAATTTGTTCAAAGTAATAAGTTAGATTTCATTGCTCGTGCCCATCAAATAGTTATGGAAGGTTATGATTGGAAATTTAATAAATTAGTATGTACAGTATGGTCCGCTCCAAATTATTGTTATAGATGTGGTAATCGTGCTTCTGTGATGGAATTAGATGATTTGGGAAATCAAAATTTCTTATTATATGACGCCGCCCCAGAAGTTTGTATTTTTTTACTTATTGTTTAAACATTCTTCTATAAAACAACTAAACTTATGTAATAGAATGAACGAACAAAAGAAGCTCATAAAGAATCTTATAAAACATTTTTAACAACATACTCTTATTGAATTTTCTTATTGAATTTATTCTTTTTTTTATTTAGTTAAAACTCAAACTTACTTTTGTTATAATGCAAATCAGAGAAGAACAACCATCTGACTATGAAGAAATATATCAATTAGTTCAAACTGCCTTTAAAACTGCTGAACATTCAAGTGGTACAGAACAAAATATTGTTGTTAAAATTAGAGAATCAGATAATTATATTAAAAGTTTATCACTTGTTGGTATTCTTCAAGGCAAAATTATTGGTCATGTTATGGTTTCCAAAATTTCTATTGTTAATAACCAAAATACATATAATAGCTATGCAGTTGCTCCACTTTCTATTGTTCCTGATCAACAAAGAAAAGGATATGGAAGTCAGTTGATGAAAGAAGTTATTTCAAAAGCACAAAAATTAGGAATTACTCATTTAACATTATTTGGAGATGACCATTTTTATCATAAATTTGGATTTGAAACATCAATAGAGTATGGAATTAAAACAGATATTCCATGTGATGAGAAGAATTGTATGGTTATTCAGTTACAAGAACACGGATTAACTGGAATAAATGGAATCATTAAATACCCAGATTACTTTTTTAAGTGAAAAGTTTTTTTTGTGATTTTTCTCTTCTTAAAAGCTTTTTCCAAAATTAAACTTCATCTAAGAATTTTTATTTAATTATGTCTTCAGCACTTCAAATCAAATACCTCTTAGAAAATATTGGTAGTTGTCCTCAAAATGAAATTAAAAGGTGGTGTGATGATCTTATAAACATGTTTCCTTTATCTACTAAGTCTTTTAAGTCTTTTTATCTACCTATCTATCTAGATTTAAATGGTGTTCAAATTAGATACACAATTGATACCAATTCTACACTTTTTCAATTCACACAAGAAATTTCAAACAGATTTAAATTACCACAACCATTACATATTAATTTAGGTGATCCAGTTGATCATATTTATTTTGGAAGAAAATTTTCAAGCTTTATTTTGTTTCCTAATCAAATTATTAAGATAAGAACAGAAAGTTTAATTGAACCAACTATGCCAAAAGATGAGTATATTACTTTTCCATGGATAGAATATTTTAAAACGTTTGATAAACTTTTATCAAATTCTAATGAGTATTGTCTTCAGTTATTGAGAACTCTTTCAAGTATTCCTTTAGACCAATTTGTTTTTGATGTGATAGACTCACCATCTTGTTTAACTGCGTTATTTTTCAATGTATTAAAAGAAAGAACAGCTTCTTTAACAGAACAACAATGTATTAATTTAATTAAACAAGCATTTTCTTTTCCTGGTGAAACCAAGTACTATTCTATTATTTCTGTATTACGGTTGTGTGTATTCAATAACATTTATTTACCAGAAAAATTTATTGAAGAAATCAAACAATCAACTCAAAAAGAATCTAAATTATCACTAATTCGACCAATTTATATTTATTTAGGATGTTGTATCAAAAAAGACTTTCATCAGCAAGTTTATTTACCAAATATTAAAGATTGTAATGAATTTCAAATTATTAGTGCTGCACAACATGATTTTGAGTTAGAAGATACACAACTACTATCAGTTTATCAACAAATTACTACTTTCATTAATTCTCCACAAAAACATAAAGAATCAATAGAGCATTTGTTTGAAACTCCTTTATATTTTATTGCTGACAACAATACTTCTCTACCATTTAGTGAAAATTTTACAATATTTGCATATTTATATTTATTAAACTCTCTTGTCAAAAAATATGGTTTTAAGAATATCCCACGTACATTGGGAGAGTATTTAGTATCCTTTGTACTTCCTCAATGGAAATCATGTTTTGAATCTATTCCACTACTTTCATTAGGACTCCAATCAATAAATCTTGCGCATCATATTCTTTCATATTCTAATAACCTAAAAAGTATTGTCTCAAAGTATTTAATCAAATCATGTGAAATTCAATCATCATTAGGAAAAATTGAATTAACTGCAACACCTCGACTGATGTTAGAAAATCCACAATTAGAAGCATATATTTATATCGCATCATTTTTATCAATAGAAAATGGAGAAGATAATAGTCTTGTTTCTGTAAGTAAAAAATTTCTTGAATTTCCTCCTCGGTCTATTGATATAACACCAATTATTACAACACTACAAATACAAGAAAATGATATAGAAGGATTAGTTAGGTTATTAAATACATTAAATATAAAGTGTAGTTTATTAAATTTTTCTTCAATCTCTACAAATATAATCCCAATACTTTGTTATAACTTTTACTTTCAAGTATATCCTATTCATCCTGAATATACATATGCACATGCATTTACTTCAGTTCCAAAACATTTCGATCTAATTTCAACTCACACATTAGGTAATTTAACATTTAGTTTAAAAGCAGTTATTACAGTAGAAAATAAATTATATTTAAGAAATGGAAATAAATGGATGTGTTTAGAAAATGGAATTTTAATTGATGTAAATCCAAAGGTATGGAGTAAAATTATGAGAGAAGGATTATTCACTCAAATAGTATTGAAAGTTGGTAATGATGTAATACATAACCCAACAAGTATTGAACCAACAATTACACAAAGTGATATAAGTGATGCATCTATAAGAACTTCAGTACCAAGTATTGAATGTATGTCAGTAGAAGAAAAAATAGAATTTCTCAAATATATCATTTGTAGATATCTTGATGTTCTTAGTTCTGAAGTTTATTATAAAATATGTGAAGAATTAAAGAAAGAGAATGGAATAACAGTACTTAAATATATTCTTTCTGATAAATTTTTAAATTTCTTTCAACCTGGAGAAACACTTAATGAAGTAAGAAATGACCTTGTTGATTTAGTGGTATATTTAATGAAGAAACTCGATAAAGATTCACAAAACCTCATTTGCCAACTTATTGTAACAAAAAAACCCAATGCTGGAATGTTAAGATTTTGTTCACAATGTACTGATAACGAAACAATAAAAGAATATTCTTTACAACATTTTAATGACTTCTTTAAATTTGTAAAAGAAGAAAAACAACCATTCCAACAACTAATAAAAGAAACAATTAATGAATTAGATAAACTTGAACCAATCTATCGAAATAATGTTGAAGTTATTAGAAGTATGAAGAAAAGTATTCCAGTTGAAGCAAGTCTTATTCTTAAACGAGTTGGAAATAAAGAAGAAAGAACAAATATGATTTCTTCATTCCGTTTCCTTCGTTTAGATGATTTAGATAAAATTAAATTCTTAGAATCACTTGATTTAGATACTATGACATCTGAAGATTTGTCTGTCCTCCAAAAGTATAAAAAGAAATTAACAAATGAAAGTAAAGAAGTTTTCGATAAATTTGATCAAATAAATAAAGTACTACAACAAAGATTTGATGCAAAAATGTTCTATGACTATTGTTATGATGCTGTTTGTTTTTGTTTTATATTTATTTATTATATATATTCACCATATTTAGTTCTATGATGTGATGATGAATTAATTGCATTTTATTTTTTCAAATAATAGAATTTCTCGTTTGACCCCAAAAGAATAATCATTAAATTTAGATTAATCAAATGTATGAAAGACTTAAAATCATAGTCATCAAAATAAATAATTTTTTTATTTCCTTCTTTTTTTTTGAATGAATTAATATCATTAAAATTGTTTTATAAATCAATTTAACAATACATGTTTTATAAAACATAAAATAATTTAAACCTAACAGTAGATAAAGAATTTGACGATGGCAAAAGAAGAGTACCATAATGTGTTTGAACGAGACGAAAATGGGATTAGAAAACTTGACTTAGAGTATGGAGACTTTCCTGATGATGGGTATGATTATTCACAACACTTTGCTGAACGAGGAAATGGGATTTTCATTCAGTCTGATGGTAAAATTATACAACCAGAAGATAGAGGGGCTGATGAAATTGAGATTGTAAACGATATTCCTGATGACATTGACCCTGAAATTCTTGCTATGTTGAATGGGGATAAAGAAACTAATGATATGGATGATGATTTTGTTCAAAAAGCAATGGGAAAGGAAGTTCAAAAAAAAGAGAGAAAAGAAAGGGAAGAAGATCGAGAATTTGAAAAGACTCTGAAAATGTGGGATAATGATGAAGATGAACCTATTAAAGATGATTTGAGTGATAGCTTAGAGTTTGAAGAACAAAAAGATGATGACATTCCCTTAGATGAAGATATGTTAATTGAAAATGAGCCAGTTGATGGGTTATTTAAGAATGGTAATCCAGTTGATATGTTAGATTTAAACCAAGAGTTTATTGATTTTGATGAATCAGATGTACAACTTGCCATGAACTCTGTGAACTTAGAACAAAATCCAAAGAAACACCGCCACAATCAACCCAAACAAAGAAAAGAAAAGAAAGTAACAAAAGAAGACCTTGAAATAGACCCAGCACTTTTGTTAAAACATGCACAACGTGTAATGGTAGATGAGCCAGAAGAGACAGAAACTATTGTTGTTCAAACAGTTGTACAAGAAGATATTCTTCAACATCAAGAAAAAACAAAACCAAAGACAAAACAAAAGAATAAACCAAAAATGGTAAAAGCACCATTAAAGAAAAAAAAGTAACTCTTAATTTTTATTACATTAATTTTTGATTTATTTCTAGTTAATACATCCAGTTATTAAAATTATTATGTGAATATTGTATAAAATACCATTTACAAAGAAAGTGTGATTAACAAATTATATTCAAAGATTATTGAAATAAATTAGGAAGAAGTATATTTTATGAAAAATTATTCACAAAAAGTTAAAATAAAAAATGAAAAAAAAACTGAAATTTTTAATAAACAATAAGAATGTCTCGAAGACGTCAAAATGAAAAGGACCAAGCACTTGAACTTCTAGGAAAAGCTAGAGAAGGTAAAATTGACATGGAGGAAGTAGCAATAAATTGTATCGCACAAGATGGGTTTGATGATATTGATGATATTGATATTGAAGATTTAAAGAATGAAAGTATTAAAGAAGAATCAAAAGAAGAAGTTGGAGGTAAGAAGATGGTTCAACAAAAGTTAGTTATTGAAGGAAAGATTAATCCAGAGGTTAAAGAAATGATTAAAGAAAAAACCGAAATTACTATTTCAAAAGAAAAGGCTCCACCAATCAAAATGCCAAAAAAATTTATTCTTAATGTTCCTAAAAAAACAGACACTAATGTATTGAAAAATGTCCCAATACAAAATTTAGATTTCTTCTATATTGATTTAGTAAGTGTTACTACAATGAAAGGTTGTGTCTTTTTAATAGGAAAAGTAAAAGGAGATAATGGATTTATTTCTTGTTCAATTCTTGTCAAAGGTATTAGAAGAGTTTTGTTTGTTGAACCTAAAAATGAATTTGTCAATAAGCCAAAAGAAGTAATAGAAGAATTAAAGAGACATTATAAATCAACTAATGTAGTATTTGTAGAAGCAACAAAAGAAATGATTATTAATCCACAAGATACAAACGATAATAAAGAGTTATTAGAAAAAAGGGTTATCAAAGGGATTCAAGTTGAATGTTATTTTGATGATAAAGAATTAAATGATACTGGAAAAACTTATGAAAAAGTTTATCAAAAAACATTGACATGTGAAGAAGTGTTTCTTAGTAATTATTCAATATTTGGTCCATCTTGGATTAAATTTAATGGATTAACTGTTGTACGTACTTCTGTAGAACAAAAGTCATGGTGTTTAAGAGAATATATTTTAGACCTCAAAAAAGTTAATCCTAAAACATCAATTAAAACTTCTATAACAAACACACTTATTCCTCCTTTAAATATTTGCTCTATTGAAACAATTTGTTTAAATGAAGAGAAAACAAAAAAACCAATGATGGTTTCATTAGATGTAGTTAAAAGTGTTCCTATGAGTCATAGTATGAAGGCATGGAGAGATGATGTTTATACGTTTTATATAAATCAAGGGGTTAAGTGTTCAAAAGGAATGGAAGCAAAAGATCAAAGAGAACTTTTGTTAAAAGTATGTAATTTCATTCAACAACATGACATTGATTTGATTATATCACATGACATGACAACAACATTAATGCCATTTTTTGATATCATTGAATCATCAGGGGAGGTTTCTGCTTATTCTAAATTTGGAAGACTAAAAAGGACACTCACTAATATTAAATCAAAAGATAATAAAGATGGTACTTTTGCAGGAAAAACCTTCTTTTCTGGAAGGTTGTTAGCAGATACATTTGTATTATCAAAAGAATTCTTAAAGTCAGAAAAAATTAATGACTTAAATACTTTAACAAGTCATTATCTTGGAATCCAAAGAGAATATAATATTGATGATTTGACATGTTCAAGTGACATTGAACTTGCGTTACAAGACAAAAATAAAATTGAGAATATTAGAAATTATCTTGAAGAAAATTCTAGGTTAGTTATAAAACTTTGTAATCAAATGAATGCAATTGCAATGACCAAAGAATTAACTAACTTGGCTGGTAATATTTGGAGTCATTCTTTCTTTGGAAAGAGAGCAGAACGAGTTGAGTATTTACTTCTTCATGAATTTATTAAACAAACAACATTGTATATTTTACCAGATAAAAAGTTTGGGGAAGGAAGTCAACATAAAAAATATGCTGGTGGGTTAGTTTTAGAACCTGTCAAAGATTTTTACTCAGATCCAATTTTATTAATAGATTTCAAATCCTTATACCCATCAATTATTATGGAATTTGGTGTTTGTTTTCTTAATTCTCAACTTGGAGGAGAGAATAATAAATCAATGTTACCAGAAATTATTAAAAAATTGGTTATGAGAAGAAGACAAATTGTAAGTGAAATGGAAAGGTTAGGAGATAAAGATGAAATTAAAAAAGCACAATTAAATACACAACAACTATCTGTAAAAGTAATGACTAACTCTATTTATGGTTGTCTTGGATTTAAAGGAAGTAGATTTTATTGTCAAAAAATTGCTGAATGGATTACTGGTAAAGGAAGAACTATTTTAACAAATACATGTGAACAAGTTCAAAAAATGGATATTCAAGTAATTTATGGAGATACTGATTCATTAATGGTTAGACCACCAAAAATTAGTATGAATGATTTAAAAACTTTTGGCAATAATTTATGTGCACAAATCAATAAAAGTTATAAGTCATTAGAAATTGAAATTGATGCGATATTTGAAAAATTATTATTATTAAGAAAGAAGAGATATGCTGCTACAATGATTCTTGATGGAGGTAAAAAGAAAAAAGAGTTAAAAGGGTTAGACGTTGTAAGGAGAGAATGGTGTCCTCTATCTAAAGAAATAGGATATTATTGTATAGACTTAATATTGTCTGATCCAGGATTAGTTAAAATGCAACAAACATTAGAAATTTATTTTAAAAATATGGCAGAAAAATTAAGAAGTGGTAAAGTCGATATTCACCAATTAGTTATTACTAAAGGATTGAATAAAGACCCCCAATCATATCCACAAAAGATTGATCATGTTGCTGCTGCATTAAAATCAAGTAAACATTATAAAGCTGGTGATCAAGTTAAATATTTAATTGAAAAAGGAGATAATACAAAATCAAGTAGTGACAGATCAATTCCACTTGATGTTGTTGAAAAATTAGAGAAATTTGAACCTGATTATGAGTATTATTTAGATACACAAATTTATGCACCAGTTTCAAGGTTATTTGAAGTATTTCCTAGTATGAATATTAAAATTAGAGAATGGCTTGGATTAAATCCAACAACAAATTTGTATAGTAGAATTGTTGTGACAACAAATAAAAGTGGTTTATGGCTAGGTTTTGAAATTGAATGTAGTGAATGTAAAAAAGTATTTACATATAGAGCATATCAAGAAAGGGATATGAAGTGCAGATGTCCAGAATGTAAGAAATTATATACATCTACTGACTTAGTTTCTAAAGGAAAACAATATATGGAAAAGATATTAGATGAATATTTAAAACAAGAAGTATCTTGTAATGATTGTGGAAGAATTTATACTAAGGCAGGAAATAATGCAGTTTATGATGACTCTTTTGATTGTTGTGGAAAGAATTATGAATTTAATATTAAAAAGAGTGATGTCATCGAAAAATTAACAAGTCTTTATGTTATTACATCATCAAGACTTAACGATCAACAAAAAATTGATTATGATATTGATGCATTACATTCATCAGTAAAAGGATTTTTAGATAAACCATGTTTACAAAGAGGAAGATAAAATGAAAATAATTGAATTAATAAAACCTTTTTTAAAAAGTTCATGACTACTACTCTCAACCTAACCAAATAGTATTTTGAAGGCAGGATAATTTTAATTGAAACTCTAGATGAAAAAAAATAGGTATTAAGAGACTTATTCATAAATTATGAATACAATTTAATTTTGATTAATAATTCTTTACTTTTCATACTGGTTGGTTATTATCAAAAAAGTATAAAACAATCAACATAAATATTGTCTTATTTGTTACAAGACAATAATTAATTATTAACAAATACTAAACTTTATACTTTTAATAAAAGGAAGCAATTTTATTAGGTTAATAAATATAGTAATTAATGTTCTATTGAATTGATAAAGACTTTTATGAAGTAGAAAGTATTTTAATATGAGCTAAACAACAATTCTTCAAATGAACTAAAGGTTGAACCATTATTATTTCTTTTGTTTTAAATTTGCGAAAAAATAAAAAATAAAAAACGGTAATAGTAAAAATTAATAATCCATGTAAATTAAATAAAATGACAGTCAAATTGCCTACCCATTAAAAAAAGGTAAAAAAAAGATTTTAGTTTAATTTTCTGTTGGGAATGAACAACTTCCAAATTCTTATTTTATTAATAAGTATTTGTTCTGCAGAGATACTTACTGATGGAGTTCCATTTAAATTAAATGGAATTAATTCTGTTTCATTAGACTATTCAATTAATCCAAAACACAGAAATAATAAGATTAGAAGTTATATTACATTAGATGCAACGTCACAAACATCAATTAAAATCTCTATTTCTATTAATGGTAAAGAAATCATTCCTCTTCAAGAGTATATAGAACCTATTGCAATTGAAGAAATTGATGAATATAAAAATGCTGTTCATAAAATTACTGTTTCTTCTTCAGCTCCAATGAGTGGAGTAATTACTGCAGCTGGTGCAATATATCTTTCTGATTGTTCTCCTGTTACATTTGATTCTTCTAACTTCAATTATATGGTTCACTTTATTTATGAGGCAAAGAATACTCATTTCTCACATGAAAATGATTGTACACTTATTTCTTCTTTACTTCTTAATTTTACTAAAGGAGTTTCCTTTTATTTTGAACAAGAACCAAATAGTCAGTCAACAAGTGAATTTAATAAATATTCTCTTTACCAATACATCCCAGTTTTTGAAGATGGAACTGTTTTTATTCATGCATTAGGAATTGAAGGAGGAGTTCAAGAAGCAACAGTAAATTCATTTTTAACTCTTCAATATCTTAATGATTGTAATGGAAAGAAACAAAAAATTCATTTGGAATCAAGTGGGTCTTATGCATTTTATAGAGTACTTCAAGTAACTGCCTCTGTTTCTGGTCTTCCAT